ACCAATGCCATATTTTACAGATCTAGAAAAAAAATAATGCTATGATTCCTTTGGAACCAGAAAAGAGCTCAAACAGCCAAAGCAATCTTTAGTAAAAATAACAAACCTGGAGATATTACATTACCAGACTATACTACGAGGTTATAGTAACCAAAACAGCTTTGTATTGGCACAAAAACAGAGACACAGACCAATGGAACAGAACAGAGCACCCATAGATAAAACCATCTGCATACAGCCAATTGATCTTTGACAAAGCAGAAAATAATATACACTGGGGAAAAGAATCCTTATTCAATAAATGGTTCTGGGAAAATTGGATATCCACATATGGAAGACTGAAACAGGATCCACACCTCTCACCTTTCACAAAAATCAACTCATGGTGGATAACAGACTTAAAGCTAAGGCATGAAACTATAAGAATTCTAGAAGAAAATGTTGGAAAAACTCCTGTAGACATTGGCCTAGGGAAAGAATTTATGCAGAGGACCTCAAAGGCAATCATGGGAACAACAAAAATAAATATATGAGTCTTGATTAAATTAAAATCATTCTGCACTGCTAAGGAAATAATCAACAGAGCAAATAGACAACCTACAGAATGGGAGAAAATATTTGCAAGCTATACATCTGAAAAAGGACTAGTAACCAGAATCTACAAAGAACTTGGGAAAATCAGCAAGGAAAAAAACCAACTCCATTAAAAAGTGGGCAAAACACATGAACAGAAGCTTTTCAAGGGAAGATAGACAAATGGCCAGTAACCATATGGAAAAATGCTCAATGTTGCTAATTATCAGGGAAATGCAAATTAAAACCACAATGAGATGTCACCTTACCCCAGTTAGAATGGCTCTTATTAAAAAGTCCAAACTATCATTAGAGCAAATAGTCTACAGAATGGGAGGAAATATTTGCTTTCTACACATCTGATAAAGGGCTGATAGCAAGAATCTATCTAGAACTTAAAAAAATCAACAAGAAAATATCAAACAACCCCATCAATAAATTGGCAATGGAAATGAACAGAAACTTTTCAGAAGGCCAGCAAACATATAAAAACTGCTCAACATCTTTAATCATTAGAGAAATTCAAATCAAAACCACAATGAGATATAATCTAACCCCAGTGAGATTGGCCTCTATCAAAAAATCCCAAAACAAGTGCTAGTGAGGATGTTGGGAGGCAGGAACACTCTTACACTGCTGGTGGGACTGCAAATTAGTGCAACATCTGTGGAAAAGAATTTGGAGATAACCTCAAAGAGCTAAAAATAGAAATACCATTCGATCCAGCGATAGCACTATTAAGCATCTACCCAAAAGACCAAAAGATATTCTATAATAAAGACATCTGTACCCAAATGTTTATGCAGCCACATTCATATTGCAGGGATGTGGAAACAACCTAAGTGCCTGTCAATTCATGAGTGGATTATTAAAATTGCGCATATGTATACAATGGAATAGTACTCAATTATAAGAAACGACAGTGATCTAGCACCTCCTTATATTTTCATGGATTGAGCTTGAGCCCATTATCCAAAGTGAGGTATCACAAGATCGGAAGAATAGGCTCCACTTGTACTCTCCATCAAATTGGTACTGACTGATTAACACTATGGTGCTCACATGGTAGTAATATTCTCTAGGGATTAGGGGGTTGGCGCGGGTAAACTCACAACTAAAGGACATGGTGAGCATTGTAGAAGGGAAGGGTATGCCTCTAACCCTCCCTTGGGTGAGCCAAAGTCATAAAATGTAACCACAATGTTTGTACCCTCATAATACCTTGCTATAATAAAACAAGCCCAAAAACTAGAGATGCTGGTGTGTATGCAGAGAGAAAGGAACATTTATACACTGTTGATGGGACTGCAAATTAGTACAACCTCTATGGAAAACAGTATGGATATTCCTCAAAGAATTAAAAGTAGACCTACAATTTGATCCAGGAATCCCACTAATGGGTATTTACACAAAGGAAAAGAAGTAATTTTATCAAAAAGACACCTGCACTTGAATATTTATTGCAGCACAATTCACAACTGCAAAAATGTGGAATCGACCCAAGTGCTCATCGATATATGAGTGGATTAACAAAATGTGGTATATGTATACTGTGGAATACTACTCCACCATGAAGAAAGATGAATTAAGTCCTTTTGCAACAATTTGGATGGAACTGGAGACCATTCTCCTAAGTGAAGTATTGCAAGAATGGAGAAACAAACACCACGTGTACTCACTATTAAATTGGAACTAATGATGAGCGCACATATGCACAGAGGGAAGTAGAACTCAGTGGAAATCAAGCAGGAGGATGAGGGGAGCAGGGGATGAGTGAAAACCTACCTAATAGGTGCAATGAACAGTATCCAGGTGATGGGCACACTTATAACCCTGACTCAAGCATACCAAAATTGATACATCTAACAAAAACATTTGTACCTCCATAATATTTTGAAATAAAAAAGAATGTTTAGGCAACTCACATTTAAAGTGACCGTCAATATAGTTAGATTAAAATATACTGTATTTGTTCTTGCTGTTTTCTATTTATTGTATTTGTACTTTGTTTCTGTTTTCCCTTTTTTCTGCTTTCTCTCATTTTATTTGATCCTTTTAATGATCCTACTTTATCTCCTATATTTACTTATAATTTAAATATATTTTCATGTTTTTAATGGTTCCCTTTGAGTTTATAGTACACATTTTTGGATAATTTTGGTTCACCTTCAAATAACACTGTACTGTTTCACATGTAGTGCAAGTACCTTGTAACAGAACATTCCCAATTCCTTCCTCTCATTCCTTGTGTCATTGGTTATTGTATTCTATTACATTTTTACATACACTCTAAATACACAACACATTGTCACTATTATTGCTTTAAACAGTCAGTTATGTTTTAGAACAATTAAGAATATGAAAAATAAAAAGTTATATTTGCCTTCATTTATTCCTTTTGCAACACTCTTCTTTTAATTATGTAGACCCAATTTTCTGACTTATACAATTTTCTGCCTGAAGAATTTCCTTTAATATTTCTGGTAAGGCAGGTGTGATGATAATTAATTTCCTCAGTTTTTGTTTGTCTGGAAAGTATTTTGCCTCAATTTTGAAGGATATTTTTGCAGAATTTAGAATTCTGGATTGGCATTTTTTGTTTCCTCACCTTAAAGGTTTCATCTTATTGTCTTTTTGCATATGTGGTTTCTAACAAGAAATCTAGTATAATTCTCTTTGTTCATCTGTAGGTAAGGTGTTCCCTACCCACCCTCTCCTTCCTGGCTGCCTTCAAGATTTTTTGTCCTAATTTTCTGCAATTTGAATTTAATATGTCTCGCTGTAGTTTTTCATTTGTTTGTTTTTAGTATCTACCCTGATAGGTGTTCTATTAGCTGTTCGGATCTGAGTTTTGGTGTCAATCATTAATTTCGGAAAATTTTGGTCATTATGTCTTCAAATATTTCTTCTGCCCCATCCTGTCTTTCTTTCCTTTCTTGTGTTCTAAGTATACACACACACACACACACACACACACACACACACACACACACTATACTGGTTGATACTGTCCCACAGTTCTTGGATTTTTTTTTTATGTTTTCTTTTTTCACTCCTTTCTCTCTCTGCATTTCAGTTTGTGTAATTTCTATTGACCTATCTTCAAGTTCACTGATTGATTCTTCAGCTGTACCGAGTCTTCTGATAAGCACATCAAAGACATTCTTCAGATCTGTTACTGTGTTTTTTCCTTTGAATTCATATATGATTCTTTCTTATACTTTCCATCCCCATGGATGTAATTTTCATGCTAAAATTACCTATCTGAGCTTGCATGATTACTTTTTCTAATAGAGCCTTAATATATTAGTCATAACTATTTTAAATTCCCTGTGTGATATTTCCAACATCCATGTAATAACCAACTCTAGTCCTGATGGTTACTTTTTTTTTTTTTTTTTTACTTTGACTCTTCCTTTTGTGCTGCCTCCTGGAGAGAATCTATTTCATCTCTTACAGATTTATTCCATTATTATTTTTACTGACGCTTTTTAGCCTGGTAGTGGGGAATAAGGAACCAGGGACATTCTATGCTATTCTGATTACATCTCAGTCTTAGGCAGGTTTTCCCTGAGTGCTGGAGGTGTGACCTTTACAAGTGTTCCTGCCCCTCCTCCAAATGTAATGGTAGGCCTAGCACATTTTCCTGCTCCTCCTGGGTTAGAACATTTTTTTTTCCTATTTTCTCCCTCAGCTTCAGTGAGTTTCCACCAATGCCCTGAGTTTCTGTTACTCTTCCTTCTGAAGATTAGGAATTTTTACCCCTTAGAGGAGATAAGGTCAAGTGGTGTTGACCATTCTGCTCTGCCAGCTGCAGTGAGTTTCCACCAGTGTGCTCAAGCTAGTTTTTATTGCCTTTCTCCCTGAATAGATTTGGGTAGAATTTTGGCAAGGGCTACTGTTCCGTTGTTTCCTCCAAACCAGGACTACAGGATATCTTCCTCAGGATTCGTCTCAGTCTTCCCTGTCAGCATCTAGTGGAATTCCTGGAGTAAAATTCTGCAAAAAGGTGCAAAACTGACTGTGTCTGTAGCCCCTACTAAATTCACATTCTCACACAGCCCCTACTGGCTTCATATTCTCACACTAGCCTGCAAACAACCTTTAGCAATTCATTAATTATTTTCAGTCGAATCTTCTTGAGTTTATATGTTGTTCAGTGATATATGCACCAGGTAAGCAAATGCCTGGATCCTGTGGCTCTCTGCAGATGTCTGTTTCTAGAGGTTTGAGGTTAGCTTTTTGCACTGCAACCTCAGTTTCCTGATGAGTTCAAGAGAAGTCATTACTTTTCAATTTTCCAGCTTTTTTAAAAAAAAAAGTTGTAATGGTGGGAGAGATGCTCTTTCCAACTCTACATCTCTAACATAATACCAGATCATATGAATCTGGGGATAAGATTTTGAGGCTCACTGTTTGTCTTCCAGCATCCATACCCCAGTTTACCAATTCTCCCACGATGGTGATCATGGTGGGTTTACCAGCTCGAGGCAAAACTTACATCTCCACGAAGCTCACACGATATCTCAACTGGATAGGAACACCAACTAAAGGTATGTCTCTGAAACCCTTTGTTCTTCAGCCCCCTACGAGTCACTGGCTGAAAACCAAGTAAAGTAGCAAGCCAAAGCCCTCTGTACCAGAAATGCTGCATCATCATTATTACCAAGATTAGGACTATTGCCACCACTATTACTATTACTACTACCACTACCAGTACATTCTTTTAAATTTTATAATTTCTTGAGTACATACTCTATGTCCAATACCATGCTGGATGCTAGGCATGGAAAAAACTTGCATTAAGATTAAACATCTGCTCTCAAGAAGTTCCATGACCTCAAAACATGAGTAACATACTATTCTTATTACCATTGCTATTATTGCCACACCAATATTACCACTTTTATTTGCATTAACATTTCTTCACCATTTCATAGGCTGAGGAAATTAAAGCCCAAGAGTTGAAATGCCTTGTCTAAGGCATATGTCAGAACCAGGATATGAATCCAGGTCTGTTTGATTCCAAGCCTGACACTCACTGTGCCAGGTCTGATGCATGGCTCTACTGATAGAAAGAGAAAAGAATTCCATGTTGGCCCTGTACTCTCCTTTTCTTCATTCTCTTCCTCTCCTTCTCTTCCTTGCCCACCCCCACATCCTATCTATCTTCCCCCTTCCCTCCCTCCCTATCTCCAAGTCTTCTCCTTTCTTTTTCCCATTTCTTCTTTCCTTTCATCTACATTCTCTTTATCTGATACACTGGCAGAGTTTTCCAGTGATTTTTCTATGTGCTAAAACCTATACTAGGCATTGGGGATATAAAAATGGATGAGACTCATGCCTCATCCTTGAAGAATTCTCAACCCCTTTGGCATGCATAAGAATATCTCACATCTTCTAGGAATCCTAGAGCAGTAACAGGGTGCTAAGGGGAGCAGTAACAGGGTGCTAAGAAGGCTTACAGAGGGCTTTACCAACTGGGAGGCAGTGACAGCTTCCTGGATAGGGTATATTTGAGCTAGGTCCTGCAGGAGGAGTAGGACTTTGGCAGAAGGGAAGGTGAGAAGAAGCAGCTCTCATGGAGGACTGTAAGCTCTGAGGAGCCTCTGCTGAGTATAGTGGCACATGGAACACTGGCAGATGGGTCTCTGCCTTGATACCCCTGCTTCCTGTGTGCTCCACTCCACTCAATTTTCACAGAGGCTTCCAGAGTCATATTTCAAAGCACAAAGCTGACCATTCCTGCAGTCTCCAAAGGTACCCTTGGCCTGCAGGTTTAAATCTAAGCTCCTTAGCCTGTTGTTCAAGGCCCTCCACAATTGACCCCTTCCAGCCTTTCAGACCTCAGCCACAGTGGATGATGCACTATCCCCCAAACATGCTCTGCCTTCTGCCAATGCCATACCTTTGTTCAAGCTGTTCCTCTACCAGGAATACCTTTGTTCCCCATTCCCACCTGTATATCTGCCTATAAAATGTGCCTACCGTAAAAGACGTGGTTCAAATGCTGTTTTCTCCCAGAAACCTTCTCATATCACCACAAATGGAATTAGTCTTTCCTTCCCCTTCACTCTTACATGGCTCCATATTGTCTCTGTCAGAGGACTTAACAGACTGGGTGAGAGCTTTCTGTTTACTGGTTTACTCACTATCTTGCTGCTAGATTTTGAGCTCCTTGAGGGCCCCATCATGAAGATCTGGTTAATCTCTGAGACCAAGGACTCAAATTCTGCTTCACAGAGTAGGCATCAAAAAGTATTTGTTGGGTGAATGAATGAAGTATTACTTCTTTAGCTGTTTATTCCCTTTCTTCCCCTTTCCTTCCCTCCTCTCTGGTTTTTCGCCATTACAGGTAAGAAAACATGGCCTAGAGATTTAGATTTGGCTTCTCCCTCACGATATAAAAAAAAATACAATAACATTGGTCTAGGAGTCCGGAGACCCAGTCTGTATTTGTCATTAGCTCACTCACTGTTTAATCTTTAGTGAATGATTTTACTCCCTACATTTCAGTTTTTTCATCTTTCCACTGGAGCAGGGCATTAAAGGATTATGATTTATGAATAGTGGAAAGACTGCCTGCTTTAGAGCCACACAGACCTGGATTTGAATCCCAGATCCCCATTTATTAACCATGAAGATTATTTCCTGTCTCTGAACTTTGATTTCCTCATTTGTAAAATGGGAATGGTGATCCCTACCTTACAGGGTTGCTGTAAGGAATAAATGAGCTGGTAGCCATAATTTGAAGCTTTACAAGCACATTTTATAGCTACAAATTATACCTTCTTATACCTCTGAGGTTTCTCCCAGCAAAGACATTTTTTGGCCACTGGGATCTTCCCAACCTCTTCACTGGTGCTCCCTGCTTTCAGTGTTTAATTTAGGCCAATATCGACGAGAGGCAGTGAGCTACAAGAACTATGAATTCTTTCTCCCAGACAACATGGAAGCCCTACTTATCAGGAAGTAAGTACAAACATTTTAGGAACTGTGCTGCTCCCTTGTGAGGGAGGTCTTTGTTCAGATATTGGGGGAGTCGGGCAGAGTAATCAGGGCCAAGAAGGAGGCCCTCTAGAATCTCAAACAGTAGCTGGGACAGTCCTTCCACCATCCCGCTTGAAGCATGTTTCTGGTCATAACCATGCCTTTCTCAAGAACCTTTAATAGTCTCCTACTTCTGACAAGAGATACTCTAAACTTCTCAGCTTAGCATTTGAGACAAGAGTCTCAATAGCTTGTCCCAGTCTAGTCTCCCTAGGCTTATTAATTCAACCTCTAGGTCTCTCTCCCCTACAAGACTCTGAATACTTCAGAACAGAGCCTGGGGCTCATTTATTGAGCCATGCCTTCATCATAGAACCCAACAACAAGTAATCACTGAAGAGATTTTTACTGAAAGCATAAAGACAATGCCACTGCCATGCCTATTCATTCAGTGTTACACATGCCAGGCATGACTTTTACTTTACAGAGAACATGCCTAGGTTCTACCTGGGTTCTTAACCCCAGTTCAGTGTGAGCTTCATTAGCTCAAGGGTTGGAGCCCCTTAGTGTTATGGCTTCCATCAATTGCTGAGCTTTTCCTGGGTACGCCACTTTATACCTGCCCCTGAGCTGTGCACATAGAGCTCCTTTGAACTTTTTGACCCCTCTGTGGTTGGCATGATGTGTAGAACATAGGACATCCTATGTAGATGTTCATAGATGAATAACTTAATGTGAGAGATGGTATAGAAGACAATACAGAAAAAGAAAGAGAAACCCATCCTCGTGAATAGGGGTTGTCTCTGTTTCTTCTGTGGTCTATTTCAGACAGTGTGCCCTGGCAGCCCTGAAGGATGTTCACAACTATCTCAGCCGTGAGGAAGGTCATGTTGCGGTAAAGAAATTTCCATTTTTTCCTCAAGTATCTGCTGAAATGGAGAATGGCTGAGATGTACTGAATATTTATGATATGCCATACATTGTTCTAAGTTCTTTGCATATATTAATAATTTAAGTTCACACTCCCCTGTGAGATAGGTATTGTTATTATATACCATTTCAGAGCCAAGAAGAATGACTCACAGAGAGATTAAATAATTTCTCAAGGTGGTATGTCATGTACCCAACAGGGCCAGAAGTGGAATCCAGGTTGTGTAACTCCAGAATCTCCACTCTTAACCACTATTCTCTACTAGTCCACCCTCAAGAATTCAGCAGGACTCTACTAGAATTTAAGACTGCAGTACAAATATTTTTGAGTTCTAGAGATTTACCTAAACTTCTAGTCAATTTAATTTCATAGACCCTTGGGATAGTATTTGCAAATTCTAAGAGGAGAAGAGATCCTCAAATATGCAAATGGTTTCATATCAGGTGCTATGGTTAGGAAGTTGTTTCCTGTTCATGGGGACTTCTGAGGTGATAAGGAAAGAAGAACCCTCACCTAGGAGTTGAGAGAACCAGTTCTAGCTCTCTTCTGTCAGCAATTCTCAGTGATTTTGGTCAAGGAAAGTCCTTTTTCTAGGCCTCAATTACTTTACCTCTATAAAGTAATCCTAATAAAATCCCACAATTTTCCTCTTGCCTTATTGTACTCACAAGGTCTGGTACATTTCTGGGCAGAAAAGTAAGAGCTCACTGAATGCTTGTGAAATTGACATAAGCCAATACCAAATCCTTCCTATCTTCTAAGACCCTGTTGAAGTTCTACCTCCTTTTGGAATCCCTCCACTTAGCATAGGGATGAACAAAAAGTAGGTGTTCTATCAATACTAGGTTCAGAGTAAGCTAATCTCATTACCTGCCTCTAGGTTTTTGATGCCACCAACACTACCAGAGAACGACGGTCAATGATTCTGCAGTTTGCTAAAGAACATGGTTACAAGGTACAGTAATACTCCCACTCTTATCTAGAGCCTACTTATCCAGCACAAATCCCAAAGAAAGGCAAAGCAGGGGACTTAGAGCAGCCAAATCAGCTACCATAGGCTCAACATTTTAATTTGGTTGTCTGGCTTTTTAGGATACAGTGAGAAGTAGCGAAGCAGAACAGGAAAGGAGAGATACCATGTTACGCAATGGAGGATGACTACTGACAGGCTGACACTGTAGGGGGTGATGATGAGGAAGGAGTGGAGAGAACCACTACAAAAAGCTCATATAAGAACTAAAATCCAGTAAAGACACAAAACGATGATCTGGAGCCATTCGACTTAGAGCCAGTTTGCCTCACAAAACTCAGAAGGCTGAAAAGACTTCCTGTGAACATTATGTTGTCAGAGATGCCCCTGGGGATGACTCTGAGCCATTGAGAAGGGGTCAAGCTATGTTGGTTCCTACTAAATATAATTCCCAGATAGAAATCTCTCCTCTGTTTCTCTCATAGGTCTTTTTCATCGAGTCCATTTGTAATGACCCTGGCGTCATTGCAGAGAACATCAGGGTAAGGAACACCAGTTACCTTTCCTCCTTACTCTGACTTAGGCTTGGATCATACCTAAAAGGCCTCTGTGAGATTAAAGGAAGTATTCCTCCCTGACCTTCTCCTCCCACTTCATACAGGAAGCATTTCCTGACCATCATGGCCCACAGTGAACCTATGTAATTAACTGAAGCCAACGTATGTAGAGCCTTTAGTACATACCAGGCACCAAGCTTGACTCTGATGCATTTTTCACAACAAACCTGTACGTTGGGGATCATTTTTATGTTGGAGAGAGGAAACTGAGGTTCCAAGAGGAGAAATGAGTTATGAAAGATTCATACAACCAGAAAGAGATAAAAGTGGGACTGGACCTCAGGCTTAGCTCTCTGCCTCAAATGCCTATGGTCTTTATTCTGACCCACAATTCATGTCAGAACTATCACTGATGCTTGATTCTAAGGCATGTGGTCTAGAACTAGATCATTCATCACATTTTTTTGTTCCCTACTTCATCAAATTATTGAAGCTCAGGGACAGAAGAGACCTTAAAGGTCATCTCCTTCAACCCTCCATCAGATACGTGAAATCTCCGCTAAATATTTGTCTAGATTTTCTTTTACACCTGCAATGGCAAGAGGCTCATTGCTTTCAAAAAATGCAACCCAGTCAAGCTGAAATCCACTTCCCTGTAATTTTCACTCATTGGTCTTTTTTCTTTTCTTTTCTTTTTTTTTTTTTTTTTTTTTTTTTTACCTCCTGGGACATAGAGCATATTCAGTTCTTCTTCTACCTCTTCACCCACCCATCTATTCATCTATTTATTGATTCAACAGAAATTGACTATACACCTGGGCTAGGCCATTCTGTGCATTAGAGACAGAGAAATAGGTAGGGAAGAGTCCTTTCCTTGAGCTCACAGTCTAATGAGGGAGACTGACAAGTATATAGACAGAACTCTGAGATAAGTGCAGAATAAGTGCAGAACTCTGAGATAAGGAACAAAGGAGGCTGTGGAAGCACAGTGGTGAGTATCTAACCTTGCATGGGAGTGAATATAAGGGAAGGTTTCCCAATGGAGGCAATAATTGAGCTGCATATTGAAGAATGCATAGGAATTTGGCAGGCAGGTGAAGAATGGGAAATAAGGGAATAGCATATACTAAGTATGACATACCCAGGGAATTATAAGTAACTTAGATTAGCTAAAGCAAAGTATGTGGGGGAATAGGGGAGCAATGGGAAATGAAGATTAGGAGATAGTTTGGGGCTCAGTCATGATAAACCATGAGCCACCTATGAAATAGTTCATACTTTTTCCTAAAAGATATGAGGAAATGGAGAAGTGTTTTAAGTAGGAGAATGCTGTGCTCAGACATGTGCATGTTAGAAATGTCCTTTCGAGGCTGGGCGTGGTGGCTCATGCCTGTAATCCTGGCACTCTGGGAGGCCAAGGCAGGCGGATTGCTCAAGGTCAGGAGTTCGAAACCAGCCTGAGCGAGACCCCGTCTCTACTAAAAATAGAAAGGAATTAATTGACCAACTAAAAATATATATACAAAAAATTAGCCGGGCCTGGTGGCATATGCCTGTAGTCCCAGCTACTGAGGTGGCTGAGGCAGGAGGATTGCTTGAGCCCAGGAGTTTGAGGTTGCTGTGAGCTAGGCTGATGCCACGGCACTCACTCTAGCCTGGGCAACAAAGTGAGACTCTGTCTCAAAAAAAAATTTAAATTAAAAAAAAAAAAAAAAAAAGTCCTTCCAGCTTCCCGTATGGTAAATATATTAGAAATAATGAGACCATAGACAGAGTAATAAGTCACAAAGCTATAGTGAGCACAGGCAAGAGAGAATGGATATTTAGACCAGATGACAGAGTGGAGAGGATTTGGTGCCTGCTAAGCAGTGAAGGATGACATCTAGGATGACTCTCAGATTCCATTTAGGCTCAGGTGACTGGTTGGATTATAGTGCCATTCTCTGAGATAAGGATTGTGGGAGGAGATGGTAGGCAGTGGGGGATTAGGATGTGCCAGTCCGTCAGAAATCCAAAGACAACATGCCATATTATCCCGGTAAACACTCAATACGTGAGACATTATGATCCCTGGTCAAGATCTCTGGTTCCTCTTCTTCAGCCTTTTCTCACACCACAGTTTCTGGTCCTCTTATGCTTATAATAAATATTCTTCTTAAGCAGTGTGTGCTCTGGGACTAAGTACAATGTAACAGGCCTTATTTGACCACACAGAGATGAGGAATGAGGAGTCACACAGTTGAGCTTCTGTTCAATTGACTGATTTTATAAACTTGGGCATGACCCTTTCTCCAAGTCTCAATTTCCTCACCTATAAAATGAGGGGTGTTGTACTCAATGGTCTCTATGGACCCTTTCTAAGGACACTGTCATGGTCTCCATCTCTTAGTGTCATCCTTAGTGCCTCTGTCCTTCTCCCCATTCCCAGCAAGTGAAACTCGGCAGCCCTGATTACATAGGCTGTGACCAGGAAAAGGTTCTGGAAGACTTTCTAAAGAGAATTGAGTGCTATGAGGTCAACTACCAACCTTTGGATGATGAACTGGATAGGTAAGAGCCCATCACCCCAAAGTTTAAGTCTGGATCTTTAGCCCATTTTTGATGTCCTGTAGGACCTGGGAAAATGTCCTTCCTTTCTGGGCCTCAGCTTTTCTATCTATAATATGAAGATCTGTCTTCAAGGGCCCTCCTGGCTCTTATGTCTTGATGTGAAAGGGTTCAATTAGATGACTGAAATAGTGATTTCCTAAGCAATATGGACAGATCAGGACCCTGAGAACAAATACCTCCCTCCTGTGGGTGTTTCTATTATTATTACAAAAGTATTCTTCATGTATGAATGACACTTCAATTTCCCAACATGTTCACCTTCTTTCTTTCATTGAATTTCCACAGCATCCCTGTAAAGGAGGCTGAGACAAGTCTTATGATCATAAATTTTCAAGAAATTGAGCCTTAGAAAGCTTAAACTACTTTCCCACGCTCCCACCACAAGTCAGGGGGTAGACCTAGAATTCTAACTACTTATTCTATCCTCAAGTCATGTCTCTTCTCACAACACTCATATGCCTCTTCAATCAAAAAGTCTGTCAGGCTCCTTTGGCTCTGGTGATGTAAGGGGTGTAAATATAGGCAAGAGATGTGGGTTCTATCCTGTGGTAGCTCTCACAGCACCTTAAAACATGGGGAGACCCAAGGAAGACAAGAAATGTTCTGTCATAACACCAACCAAAGATAGGAGAGGTGTTATGTAGCAGTACAGGGCAGATGTGAGTTTTAGATGTAGGATGTTTCTAGAACCGTACCCTCTTTCAAAACAGGGTGTGATGAGAAGGGACCTGGGTCACTCACACCCTTTAGGACCCAAGCGAGAAATTTAAGGAGGTCTCACATGGTCATTACCACCCTAAGAAGTTTAAAGAACAACCTTCCAGCCTTACCAACCAAAGTACTGAGAGATGAGCATTGTTATTGCCCCACTCCTTAGGTGGGGAAACTGAGACACAGGTCAGGTCAAAGACTTACCTGAGGCCACACAATGAGTCAGCAACAGAATATATACTCAAACCCATATCCCCAAACTTCCTTTCTGGATGCCCCTGCCACATCCCTGTATCACAAAAAGTGTTACATGAGGCTTAGACATTCAATGCAAGGGGCATGGCCTTTATGTGTGATTGTCTAGATTGTTCATTGTACAGACATCATGGTCAAGAGTACACTTGCTTCTGTCATCTGCTGGAGTGGGGCTATATATGTCTTCAGGAAAGTGCTACTTTTTCAAGTTTCCACAATGGCGCCATATAGGCTAACAGCATATGGTGAAAGGAGCCTGCAGGAAGGGGACAGAAGTAAGAGAACAAGACCGAGAAAGCCCCCAGTCCTGGGCCTAGACTCCTGCAGGTGTTCAGTTGTTGTTTGATGAATCAGTTTGGGCCTGAAGACAATAAATCCAGAAGGTCAGATTTATGTCATCATTTTTTCTATTAGCAGACATTTATAACCCATGCATCAAGTTCCATGCCTGAGCACAGAGCCCAAAGAGGGAAGGGCTGTCCCTGCTTTGACAGAATGTCCATTTGGTTGGGGAAAACAATGAGTACATGGTTGATCACAATTGTAGAGACAATAAACCAAGTGGGCTGTAGGAACACAGAGCATGGAACTCAGCCCAGCTTGGAGGAAGAAGGTCTGGAAGAGCTATATTGCCCAAAAGGCAGACTAAACTTGTGCTTAGGGCACTAGCAAGATAGAGGCTACCAAAAACAAGAAAAATACCTTAAAAGCTTTTTAATATTTGATATTTCAAAAACAGCATCAAGTTAGTTAAAGTAGAAAAAATAAAACTAGAACCTAGGAGGACCTCCTCGTATTATTATATCATTTATAGTTTTTATTTTAAATTACACATGGTGTGGGTGGGCATTGGACTGCTGGTCTCAAAGGAAGCTTCCTGGGGTGAGTGAATGTGCTGACTCTTGATGGATGAATGTGTAGGAACTCAACTTGGAAATCAAGCAAGGCACATCTTTTCAAGCAAAGAGAACAGAACTTTGCAATAGCCTAGTTACATCTGAATAAGAGGACTACAGAGAATATTCCAAGTGTAACAGCAAAAGCATGAAGGCAAGAATAAAACAGAGAAGTTATGGGTATGGGCGTGGGACTGTGAAGTGAGGCCAACTGGCGCCAGTGTGTGAAGGCACCTAGTATATCAGACTAAGCTGAGGAATTGAGAAGCTCTCCTAGGGCCATGCAGGACCTAGTGTTAGGAACAGACAGTAACCAGGCAAGAAGTGTGTATCAGATATGGCCTACCCCTAGGCTCTGAGAGTCCTATGAGACATAATTTGAGAGAGGGGAGTATTCTGGGGTTTAAATCCCAAGTCTACTTCTTTCTGAGAAAGTGATTTTGGGTAAATCACTTCCTTTCTCTGTGCTTCAGTTTCCTCACCTATAAAACAGAGATAATAATCTCTGCTCTGTAGGATGGTTATGAGACTTTAAAATCCCCACAGAATTGTAAAGGCCAGATGCACAGAAAATGTTCAACAAGTGCAAGTGCCCTGTGAGAGCTATTGGGTGTGGATCACAGGACTGGGCGTGAGGAGTGTGAGACAGACATAAAAAATTCTCTAGGAAGATCAAGGGAGAGGTTTTCTGAAAACAAACCCATCAGCAGCCTTACTAACTGCCTTGGGTTAGTGCAGCTCTTTCCACTCAGTTTGTTTTGTTACCATGCAACCAGGGTTGCTGGTGTCACATCATTGGCCCAGCCTCCCACACGTCTTCTCAGGAATCTCTCTGAACTCCCTCTAAGCCAACAACTAAAGAACTAATGCCTGGCACAGCAGAGACCTCAGGAGTCATGCTCCATGCTTCAGATGTGATTAATCACTGTCCCTACCCCATCTTCCAGCTCCTCCAGAAACAGGTGGTTGAATAGTTTGATTATCATTCCATATGTAGTTATTAGTTCATGACAGAACACAGAATTGAGGAGACAGAAAGGAACTTTGAGCAAGCACCACAAGTTCTCCAATGGTGTTGTGGACCACCTCTGTATCCCCATGCCCAAGTACTTGGCACACCACAGAGGGAGTGACTGTGGAATGAATGTTGGGCATTGGTCATATGTCTCCAAGTATATGTTCCTGACTGCCAAAAGAGCTGCCAAAAGGCAGACTCTGGATCCCCACCCCAAGAACAGTGCATAGAACAGAGAAAGGTATGTTGGTTGACAGCATGGCAATTAGGGAAAGAACACATCCCAACCCCCTTTCTGAGGGAGAAGAGAGACATGCACACTCAAACACATATGCACACACAGTCTGATAGCTTCCTGTAGAGTATAAAGTATAATACATAGCTAAAAAAACAACAACAACCAACCAAACAAACAAACAAACAAACAAAAACAGGAAGGAAGAGCTTGGCTCAGGATCAGAAAGGGAGGAGGAATGGAAAGGTCAAAAGCTGCCAGTGAGATGCTGGAGACTGGCCAGAGATGCAGAGGATTACTCTTTCTCTTTGAGTATAATGGGTGTGAACTACAGAGGAGAGAACTCCAGCTGCCTGTAGTGTGATGAATGAAGGTGAAAAGACAGCTTGGCTCAAGCTGAGGCTGAGGAAATGAGACAGGGGAGATGATAGCAGGCAATGAGCTCCTTGGGGTGGTCAGGAAATAAGTCTATAGGACAGGTACACAAGACAGGGCAAGGTATGGCTTCGCATTAGGTGAGATCTGGGTTGGGGAGTAAGCTTGAAAACAGGGTATGTGGTTGGGACTTTCTCTTGGGATCAACTCCACCACCATCAGTTCCTGAGGTGCCCTTACTTGTGCTTGGCTCTGGCCCAGCCACCTGTCCTATATCAAGATCTTCGACGTGGGCACACGCTACTTGGTGAACCGAGTGCAGGACCACATCCAGAGCCGCACGGTCTACTACCTCATGAACATCCACGTAACGCCCCGCTCCATCTACCTATGCCGGCACGGTGAGAGTGAGCTCAACCTCAGAGGCCGTATTGGAGGCGACTCTGGACTCTCAGCTCGGGGCAAGCAGGTGGGGAGGACACCAGGTACCCAGAGCGGTTGGCTGAGCTGACCCAGGTGGGCGGGGGGTAGGCTGGCCACTGCCTGGGTCCGGAGCTGGAGGACCCTGCGATGGGGGAGAAGCAGATTCTGGCCCTTCCAGCCATCAGCCACTCAGTCTTGACGCAGTCATGTGCCCACGTATGCCACTGTTCTGCAGGTCTAATAGCTTGCCGAGGCACCCAGGGTCTGCCCAAATCCAGCTGCTCTCTTGGCCCTGCCTGACCGGTCAAGAGCTTGGGCCTTTCTTGTGCACTTTCCCCACCTAGGTTGCCCTCCTCTGTCGCCTGTGTCAGCGGTGCCCGTGCTTACACAGACAGCTGCCCTGAGGGCCCACCCTAATCCTTCTTCTCCCAGACTCAGGGCTGCCGCTGCCCGCCCCCACCCTCCAGGTATCACTTTAGCAGCACTTGTCCACCAGCGACGTGTCCTTCCTGCCCTCCCGCCCCCTTCCAAGGCCAGCACCTGCTCCATGGTCTGGTCCAGAAAGCCCTCCTGGTCCTCTCCTCCCCCGCAGGCAGGTCGCGTGCCCTGGGCTCCTGCTCTCCCAGGTGTGGCCCATCTGACTCTCCTGGCGTGAATCTCTTCTCCCCAGCCAGGCACACTGACCTGCACGTGCTGGGTGCTGGCTACACAAAGGGGTGCATGGCCCCAGCATTTGGCCCTGTGCCTGGGCTTGTTAGCACAGGTATTGCTTCTGCTGGGAGAACTGCTTGGGGTGGCACAAGTCGGAAGTGAAGTGCAGGAGGGACATTTATTGACATTGCTCTCATTTATTGGGCACCTCTGCCCAGTCGTGGTGCCATGTGCTTGCACACGTGTGTGCCTCATTTAATCTTCACAACAGCTCCCTGGGATGGGCGTTGGTTGCTGTCATTGGTTTATGGATGGGGAAGCTGAGGCCCAGAGAGGAGCAAAGTTGGTCCCAGGCGTGGCCCAGAAGGCCCAGTCCTCGGTGCTCCCTTCTTAGCTCCAGACGGCAGCCTCCCTTCAAGATAGACTCTGACCTCTGACCCTCCACTCCCACCCCTCAGCACCGCGTCAGAGCACCTGTGGCAGGGGTGTCTCGGTTGGAGCCACGCCCTGCCGACACAGCTCAGAGCAGGGTCTGACACGTGGCTGCGGTTCCCACAGGGTGCCACTTCCTACACACTCACAGCTGCCCCAACCTTCGTGCTCATGGGCACAGTGCACCAGCCCGGTTTACAAAGTACTTCCCATCGACTGTCACCCCCATCACCATCGCTCTCACTTGTGCAGCCCCTACTGTGTAAGAGAGTCTGTGTGCCCCCCACCCACTATCTAAAGTGATGCTCACAGAGAGCAGGCCAGGCGAGCCAGTGCTCTCTGCCTCTTACAGGCGGTATGAGGACAGAGAGGGGCAGGGACCTGTCCGGGGGCACGTGGGGACCATGTGAGGAGTTGGGGCGTTTGACCTATGTCTCTTACCTCCCAGTCAAGGACTCCTAACACCAGAGCATGCGGCCTGTTGACTCATATCTCTAATTAAATGTGTGCATAACGTGGCTGTATCTCTGTATACACATGCGTGCCTGTGTCTAGGCATTTGTGCAGATGGATGTTCCTAACACAGCATCGTGACTGATAACACACCTGTGCACAGAAGAAGAGCGAGTCACTTGTGCCTCTGGACTCCCACAGCCCTTGTGGTTCCCGTCAGTGCTGCCATTGTTTCCCCCACTGCACTGGCCGTCCCCTGAGATCAAGAACACCCCAGCACCCAGCACAGAGCCACACACACACTCAATAGATGTGTTAATGCCCTTAGAACCTGGATACCTGGAACCCTACTTAAGCAATGGGTATTCACAGTGTCAAAGAGAAATAGAAATGTCTTCCAAATCCTCTACTTGCACTACCTGTTCATACTTAGGGTACCCCACTCTTTGCCCTTATTGCCTAGAGTCTGCTTTCAGTGCCTACATGAGCCTACCCTACAGGCTGTCCACCTGAGGCCTGGTCATATAACAGGAGTGTTCACCCTTAGGCCAAAGGGTGGCCAAGGAGTTGCCGTTTGTGAAGCATGGAGATTAGTAGAGGTGGGGTGTGGACAGAACTTGGTCATGTGAGTGGATCATCTACAAACATGTACTCAAGTTACCTAGAAGTGCAGTGCAGAGCCAGAAATGGAATGAGAAGGGAGGAATACTATGGATGTGGTGCCTCCATTTGTACTTTTGTCCTAGCTTCTACAAATGTTAGAGGTGGGCCTGTTTCAATGAATAAATAACCAAGTAAAGGGTTCAGTGAGCAAGCATCAATGAACACACACACACACCACACACACACACACACACACACACAACAAACTTCATCCCACGTCCCACTACTCATCACTCACTCACGCTTTTCTGTTCCCTTGACCCTTAATCACATAGGAAAGAGTATAGCTTTTTATAAATTTGGAACATTTAAACTCTCTGCTCTTTGCTTGTTCATCACCATTCCATTTGTAGCAGATCTGAGCTTGTTCTCATGGGTACCCTGTCCTCTCTCACCTCTTCTTTTGCCTTCCTCTCCTCCTCTGCACCCCCACACCCTAGTATGCCTATGCCCTGGCCAACTTCATTCGGTCCCAGGGCATCAGCTCCCTGAAGGTGTGGACCAGCCACATGAAGAGGACCATCCAGACAGCTGAGGCCCTGGGTGTCCCCTATGAACAGTGGAAGGCCCTGAACGAGATTGACGCGGTGAGATGCATGGCGGTGGGGAGCTTGAGTCTGGCCTTATTTCCTGGGTTGCCCCTGCTCCAGTCCCTGTGGGGAAGCTAATTAGTTCAACAAAGATTTCTGGGCAACCAGCAGTGTGCCAGATCCTATTCTGTGCCTTGGGGATCCAGTAAAGGCCAGAAGAGACACAGTCTCTGCCCTCATGGAGCAGTCAGTAAATAGGACATTACATCTCAATGTGACAAAAGGTTATGGGAGGGACAGTATAAGGGATTATGGGGGATCAGAAGATGAGGGTGCTCCTGACCAGACTTGATGGGGGCGGGGGGGGGGAGGGCGCGGGATTTACAAGGAAAGATTCCTGGAGGAAGCTAGAGGTGAGATATGAAGCAGGCAAAATTTAGTTCAGGGACAGAGAACAGCTCATGTGAAGGCCCAGAGATGTGAAGAGAGCATGGCATGTTCAGAGAACTGAAGGAAAGAATAGCAGAGAGGCTGAGATGGTGATAACGAGGTCTGGAGAAAATGGGGATGAGGCTTAAAAGCAAGTGCAGCCATGAGGTCTTATAGGCCACGTTGGGGGATTCAGATGCTGAGCTAACAACAGTGGGAAGCCATTGATGGGGTCTAAATCAAGGAGGATTGGTCTGAACATTATTTACATTTTTTAAATAAAAGTCCACCCCTGGGCATGTTTGGAGACTCAGTGGGAAAAGGGCCAGAATGAGCACATAGGTTAGTAAGGAGATGGCTGCATTAGTTTGGCAAAAGGTGAGGGCATGTTGAACCATAGTAGTGGCGTTAGAGATGAAGAAGAAAGACTTGGGGAATGTTTCAAAGGTAGAATCAACAGGACTTGGTAGTGCACTGGCTTCACAGGGTGAGGAAGAAAGAGGAATAAAGGATTCAACTCTGGTGATATGGCAATGGCTCTTCAGGATCAGGTTTTCCTATGAGCTCTTTGAGAAAGAAGCTGTTTCTTCTCCATTGTCTACCTGCACTCTAGGTACACTGGCACAGGGCAGCAGCCCACAGGTTATAGTGGTTGGACATCAACATAAAAGCTTCATCACAAGTGTAGATAACTTGTGTGTGGATAGGTTAACTTGCTTGACTGCTAGATATGCTTCTATAGATTGTGTGTGTGTGTGTGTACATTCATACATATGTACATAAATATAGAGGTACTGAGATACGTATAGTTAAAAAAGAGCTATGCAGCACTGTTCTACAGATCCCATACATTTGCTACAAAATGCATGCAAACAAATGTGTAAACTGTTCATCATAGGAGTTTAGTTGCTGCTTATTTCTGGCCCACCTGTGATGTGAACATTTATTGAACATCTACTTGTTTCAGGTTCTGGAGTAGTGATAGAGACAGAAATTAGTCTGATTAGTTCCTATCTTCACTGAGTTTTGTGATAAATTACGTAGACAGAGGAATAAACAGAAATACAAAACAGTGTGTGTGTGATACAGGCTCTGATAGACAAGACCATAGGTGCATAGAAGTCAGGGCACAGCACCTGACCCAGCCAGAATCTGCCTGGAGGAAGTGATGCCTACCTGAAGCTTGAGGCTGAGTAGCAGTGAACCAAGTTAAAAGGATCAGGAATGGTATTCCAGGCAGACAGAGCAGCATAAGCAAATAGGATATTGTGTTTATATGGAACTGCTAAAGTTGTAGCAGTGGAGACAGAGAAGGAGGAAAAAGGAAGAGATTTGAGAGAGATTTAGGAAGTAGAATCTCAGGAATTGGCTCTGGAGGGATGGGTGAGGAAGAAGCAAGAATTTAGAATGATGCCTAAGTTTCTGGTTTATTTTCTATGATTAATAATAATTATACTTAATTCCACTGACTGAGTCTTTAAAATGTGCCATGTACATCCTGCACTAGTATCCTTTACATAAATTATTCCTAATATTCAAAACACTTCTATGAAGTAGTTGTAATTCTCCTCATTTTGTAGATAAGGAAAATAAAATTCGCAGAGATTAGGCAGTTTGCCTAAAGTCAATAAGGAGTCAGTGGCCATTTCTATAGGCAATAGGCTCCTGGCATTCCTCAGAATAGAAAGTTGAAGCCAATCTGGAAGGGCCTTGTGTACCCAGTAGGCTGCACTTTCTTTCATGGGCAGTGTCAGTTGGAGAAGTTCAACACTGCAGAACTGTTTGTGGGTTGGGGCGGGGTTTCTCACCCCTGAAGGAAGCCTGGTAGATGGATCCAAAAGACAGCAACCAGAGCCTGCTGCCCTCCCCCACCCACAGGATGGTTTAATTAAAATCCACACATCCAGAAGGAAACCTTAGAAACCCAACATAATTTCCCACTGCCACCAGCAGCCACCTCACCTCTGGGGATTTCTCAGTAGATTTGGAATTTCTCATAAGCTCCTGAGGAACTAATTCTCTGAGTCCTCCATTCTTTCTTTGCTTGAGGAGAGTGTATCTCCCCAAAGCCCACTCTGACACCCTTAGAAATTTACTAATTGTTCTTCTCTGAAATGTCTATGGATATCTGTTTCTTTATCTCCCATAGGTCCTGAAGAAGAGGTCTGGGCAGGAGGGATGGGAAATGTTATCAAATGGGAGATCACTATGGTATATGTGCACACATGCATGCACTTGCATATTGCAGTCACAGATACCTACCACAAGTATGCTCACACTTGCATACATGCACTTCGCAGATACATGGACCCTCTTCTACCAATCACACATGGAGGTATAAAAATACATAATTAGATATGTAAGGTACACCCATGGACCTACTGGGACAATCATAGAAAAACACCATACACTCAGCATGAGCTCACCTATCCATCTACCTTTACTCTCACATCCACATAGCTGCACACCTCATGCACACATACACATACACACTCACAGACAACAGGCGCAAATCCAGAGCTGTGTTCACAAGACCCAGGTGCTCACTTGCTACTTTTCCACAATCATTGGTCTCAGAACTATAACAAAGGCTGTGTGGATTTCATCTTGTGAATACTTTTGCCCCAAATACTTTATCTCAGGGTGTCTGTGAGGAGATGACCTATGAAGAAATCCAGGAACACTATCCTGAAGAATTTGCACTACGAGACCAAGATAAATATCGCTACCGCTATCCCAAGGGAGAGGTAAGGTTGGGAGGGGTGGTGTAACTTCTATAACTCCTCCCCAAGACCTCCATTCCAACTGCCAGGATTCCACAGTTGCCTAGAAAGCTTTAGAAACAGGGTAAAGCATATTTTGCGGCAGCTGCCATCTCACAAAACACATGATTATCTGACCCTTGGCTTAGATTCTTGGCTATAAGCAACAGACTTTTTAAAAAGCTACATATTTGCTTCCTTATTCTCTCTGCTTTCAGGAAGGCCCACTTTATCCTAGACTTTTCTCTGGTATCCCATCACTAAAGACACTTGAAATAATTCAACATCCTCTAATTTCCTGACGTTTTGCTGCCAAGTTGCCTAAAGCTCCATCCTCTCTGGGTAACAGGGCATCATCCAAAGGGACAATGGCTAATTGTTTAACCGACTTCTTTGCCACCACATGAACCAGACCATCACTTTCCTATCCCCATATGAGATGAATTCTCATTGCTTTCAACCCAGCCTCCATTTAGTCAGTTCCACAATATAGAGCATTTATTAGTCATATTCCATTTCCGATACAAATTCCTGGGAGGAATTATCAGAAAAGCAGGACATCTGGGAAGATAAAACAATAGATATTCTGTTCAGTTACATAGCACTTTCATATTTGTATCGTCCTCCTTGGAAATGACATTATAGAATCCATCTTAATTTGTCCTTGTTTTCCTTTATGTATTTTGAGGCTATATTATCAGAGGCATACGAATTTAAAGCAATTACATCTTCTTAGTAAATTGTACACTTTATTATTACATAGTGACCAAACCTCTTTTCTCCTGATAATCCTTTTTGCCCAAAAGTGTATTTTATTTTCGTTTTTTTATTTCAATAGATTTGGGAGGTATGAGTGTTTTTTTTGTTTGTTTGTTTCATGGATGAATTGTGTAATGGTGATGTCATGGCTTTCAGTGTACCTGTCACAAGAATAGTGTACATTGTACCTGATAAGTAATTTTTGATCCCTCACTACCCCCAACCTCCCATTTTCTTAGTTTCCAATGTCCATCATACCAAAAAGTATATTTTATCTAATATTAATATAGCAATACAAGATTGCTTCTGGAGACTGCTTGCCTAGTTCACTTTTATCTATTAATTTATTTCAACTTCCATGTGTATTTTTGTTTTGTGTCTCTTGTAAACACAGCTTATAGTTGGATTCTGTTGTTTTTAATCCAAACTGAAAAATATATGCCTTTTGAATAGTAAGTTTGGTATATTTTCTTTTATTATAATTACTATTTTTTTTAGTTTATTTCTATTATCTTGTCTTGAGCTCTCTATGCCTAGTTTATTTTTCATTTTGTTCTTGCCTTCTTAAGGATTGATAGAGTTTTTACATCCATGTTTAAGTTATATAATCTGTTTCCATTTATTTAGAAGTTACCCTTAATATTCTTAAAAAGACTTCATCATGATTCTTTTTATTCTTAGCAGATATATCCCACTAAGGATGTAAGGTCAAAATATTGTATTTTAAAATCACTTATAATGATTATTTGTTATTCATTGCAATAGAACCAACTTGACACTTAACATTTTAATACATGTAGTTAACAAAATCTAAAAGCAATATCTCCACCCTCCCCCTAAACAATAGAACTTTAAGACTCTGGTCACTTTCTCTCATAATTTACATGCTAATTGTTTTGTGTTTTAGGTCAATCTTGGTCTTAACCCCCAAATGAATTATTACTGTTGTTATTACTGTTATTATTATGGTAAACAGTCAAATGTTTATTTAGATTTAACTACATTTACTGATTCTTTCGATCGCTCTTGTTCCTTGTATCTCAAGTCTTCCTTCTGAGTTAATTTTTCATCTTCCTTTGGAAGCTTTTTTAATGAAGGTCTGTTGATAGTAATCTTACCCTTCTTTTTGTCTTACAATGTCTTGGTGGGGTGGGGGATTCCTCAATCCTAGTGATACTTTGGCTGGGTAGAAAGCTCTAAGTGGACAGTTGTTTTCTGTCGGCATTTTGAAGATATTACCCCCTACTGTCTTCTGGCTTCTACTGTGGCTAAGAAATCTGCTATCAGTCTAGTTGTCATTTATTTTCTATCTAGCTTTTACTTTTAAGGTCTTTGTATCTTTGTTCCTTTTGCGTTTCACTCTCACGTGTCTAGATATATTTTTTTTATTATTATTATTTGTCTTGCTTAGAAGTAGTGAGACTTCCTGAATCTGAGGATTGGGATTCTTCAGCAATTCTGAAAAATTCTCATATATTATATCTTTAATTTTTTTTCTCTCACATTCTCTCTGTTATCTCTTTCTGGAAATATAATTAGATGTGTTACTCCTGCCTCTATCCTTCATGTCTCCTAATTTTTCCTTCCTATTTTCTATCTTTTTGTATCTTTTGCTGCATTCTGGATAATTTTTTCAGCTTTATCTTCTATTTTTTTTTATTTTTTATTTATTTTTTTTTTTTAAATTTTTTTTTTTTTTCTGGCTAGCCAGGGTCCAAGCCCCAGAGCACCAACACAGTGGCCACTCTCGCAGGCAAGGACCAAGCTTTATCTTCTAAATCACTATTTCTTAAGTGGTATCTAATATGTGTTTACCCTATCCACTGTGTTTTCAATTTTAATGAATATATTTTTCATTTCTGAAATTTTATTTAGTTCTTTTTCAAATCTACATCATATATTTGATGGCATCTTGTTTCTTCCTTATATTTTCTATTCCACATTTTATTGCTTTAAAAATTTCAAACATTTATTTTATATCGTACATCCCTTAAGTTTTTAGGGTTCTATTCTTGTTTCTGCTTAGTCTTGTTCATGGCAGCTTATTTCCTTGTGTTATGTGAGCTCCAGTTTAGCAAGAATTTATCTTTGGGAATCTCATACAGCCTGAGTTGAGAGAATCCAGAGAAAATTTCCATTTTATCTGTAGTCCTGCGAGCTAACAACTTGAGACCACTTTTTATTAAACTTTCAGCATAACATTTTCCAAACAACATGGCTAATGTAATTCTGAATCACCACCCCGCCTGAGGGAAGGCTGGTGGTTATAAATTCTTACAGGAGTCTTCTCTTAATTTTTTCCACAAAGAGCCAAGAAGAGACAGATACATTTTCTTGTTGTTCCCCTTTGCCTGTGAGTGGAGTTTTTCTAGCTTACACTTTTATGGAAGATGTAAATATTTTCCCTTTGAGGGTCTCAGATTTGTATGACAGTCTCAGCCCCAACTCCCTACCTTGTGTATACCTAAGGCCTTATCTCCTATTTATATGAGGTTTGTTTTTTAAAAAAAACTCAAGCCTCTTGGTTACTATGATTGGCAAATGCCCCCAGGGTAGCTGTGGCTTCTACATCCACACTTATCATTCTTTTTTACAAGGTTTTCTTCATTTAGGAACCCTATATTCATAGAATTTCTCTTACTTTTTTTAAATGAAAGATCAGCAGTGCAATTAAGAAGACATTTTTGGGGGGCAAGGGCATTATTTGAAACCTTAAAATTTGTACCCCCATAATATGCTGAAATAAAAAATAAAGAAGACATTTCGTAGTGAGGAGTTTTACTATTGTTATTTAGTCCACTATATTGATTGTCTTCATTTAGCAGACGAGAAATAGAGATCCTAAGAAGGCAGTGAGTTACCTAAGGTCATATTGCTGGGTCAACAACTGAATTGGCACCAGAACCAAGTTTTTCTGATTCCTGGTTTAGAGTTACTCCCATCTGGCAAATATGCTTCATCTCCCTTTCTTACCCAAGTGTCTCTCTCACTTTTAGTCCTATGAGGATCTGGTCCAGCGTCTGGAGCCAGTTATAATGGAGCTAGAACGACAGGAGAACGTACTGGTGATCTGCCACCAGGCTGTCATGCGGTGCCTCCTGGCATACTTCCTGGATAAAAGTTCTGGTAACACCTTCCTCTCTGTTTCTGGCGTGGGGAACTAAACATGATTCGAGACCCTGATACCAGCAATTAGGAGTTTGTATCTTAGTGGTTAACAGCAGAGTATCTAGAACAAAGATGTCTGGCTTCAGATTCTTTCTCTGTCAATTACTAGCTGTACCACCTTTGACAAATTCCTTTACCTCTCTGGCTTCAGTTTCCTCATCTGTAAAATGGGGAGAATAATGGTGAAGTTTAAATAAACAACATATGTAAAGAGCTTACAACAGTTCATGGCACATTGTACAGGCTATCTGAATGTTAGCTTCTATTATTAGTATTAGTATTATTCTGAGCTAGCATTTTCAAAGCCAACATTAACAGTCTGCCTCAACCTGAAATAGCTGAGCCAGTATTTTCCTAAAACATGCTGCCATCAGGGGCCTTTCATGGCTTCATGATCCTGATTATAGGTTTCTGTCTTTGCTGTAGGGATGATTTCCCTAAAATAATGATGTTTGTATTTTAAATTGTTTTCAAATAGTAATTTGTTTTTTAAAATATCTTAGACATTGTATTTACACAGTACCTATATACTGACTACATACACTGAACTGCAAACTAGAACAGGTGGCCTGGCAATGGACGGTTATATCACCTTCAGGTGTGAGAGTCCATTTCCAATGTGGATACTGAAGTGTTGGCACTTCCGTGATATTTTGAGGGTGTCTAAGGACAGTACAAAATAATATTTTATTCCTACAATGTCCTGCAGTCTTGGATTTTTTCTTATAATTCTAGTTTCAAAATAAAAAGCACTTGTAATATGGGGTCATCCAGAATCTTAACCCAGGGAACTTGAGAACTTGACATTAGATAAGTCATTTCCTCTTCCTAGTCCTCAATTTCCTCACTGGAAATAGCTGATGGGATGTGTAGCATGGGGGTCCTTGCCCTGCTAGATTTATGTATGTTCACGTCTCTAATTTTCAGGGCAAATTTTTGAGAATGTGAGGCAGGCACTATAACTCCCATTGTCCAGATGAAGAAATGGAGAGAAGTGAGGTGACTTGCCCAAGGTCATAGGGCTCAGAGTGTCAATAGGAGTTGATCCCAGGTGCATGCCAGAGGCCTTCCCCTCTCAGATATGTGTGGAGTGCTTGGGGGACATGGGTACCTCCTGCTTTCTCCACTTCCTACTTGCTTTCACACACAGGCCACGCCGGCTGCTCACAACTACCCTGGCAGCTGGGCAGGGCAGGGTGGGGTGGACAGATGTTCTTACCCCCATTACTCAGGTGAGTGATGTTGGAACAAAGCCCAGAGAGATGATGTGACTGGGAATGTAGACCCACAAGCTTCAGGCCTGGGGTACCCTCAGATTGCATCTAGTTCAATTCTGTCCTGTGAGATGAGGACACTGAAGGCCAGAGAAGGAAGAATCTGGGCCAAGGTCACTAGTTGAGGCAGTGGCAGAGCTGGATCAGAGACCTCAGGCAAGTGGCTTCCCTTCTCCAGGTCTGTTTCCTCATGGGTACAGTGAGGGGTACAGAACCCCAGAGGATCATGGAGGATGCAGTGAGATAGGGCACAAAGCACCCTCAGCCCAGGGCCTGACGACGATGAAGACAAGACGAGGAGGAAGAGCAGGATGGATGCCCAGTACCACGCGCAGCCTGACCTCTCGGGGGGCTGGCTATGGGGGGCGTGGCAGGCCTCAAAGGCCTCGGATGAACCTAAGGGCTGATCAGGGAAGCCACCAAGGGAGGTGGAACTCCTCCATGAAGGGATCTTGCTAAATGGAGGGAGATGGGGAGCGGGTGTACAGGAGGATGAGGGTGCCCAGCAGGTGGCTGTGGCACCTCCAGGACGCTGCAAGCCCCTCCATGGCAGGGGCACCCAACTGCAGGGCACAGAACACACATCGTGGCCTCAGAGGGTCTAGGTTCAAGTCCCTGCTCTGACTCTTCCTGGACGCAGGACTTCCCATGAGGGACGTCCCTCTCAGAGCCTCAGTTTCTCATCCAGAAAATGGCCTATTGTCCCCTCCTCTCAGCCTTGCCTGATAAATGGAAACGGAGGCCCTGACAAGAAATTGTACATGAACACTCAGAGCCACTTAATGTACCAGGTCAACAACTGGGAACAAGTGACTCCACGGGTGCCAGTCCACGGGGAAGTGTAGGAGCAGTGGGAGGGAGCAGCTGCGCTGGGGAGGAGGCTGCGGGAGCTGTCAGTGCCACGCACACCTGCGCCCTGGACTCTGGCGCACAGCAGGGGCTCAGTGGACACTTGCCGACAGGGACCATGGGACTTTATGGTGGGCGTCTGGGCAAGGCCCCAGGCTACGACAGTGGGGCGGCCTGCCTCGGTGTCCTGTTGGACCCAGGAGTGAATAGGTGGCCGTCTCTGGGGAGGCCGGCCTGACCCTCCTGCAGGACCAGAGCCTGCCCCCCTTTCCCCAGGTGCTCTTCCTCCCTGCCCCGGCCGCCGCCTCCGCTCTCCTCCTCTGTGCCCAGCCTGCTCTTGGCGCTGCCCCTGCAGGGTTGGGGAAGGGGGCCCTGGTGAGGCCCAGCCCAGCATGGGGAGGTGCCAGGGGGAGAGTCCAGCCAGCCCGGAGGCCTTGGAGGTGGTGCCCTGGCCAGCCCTAGAGATCTCTGAGGGCTGCTTCCTGCTCTTTTCCAGATGAGCTTCCGTATCTCAAGTGCCCTCTGCACACAGTGCTCAAACTCACGCCTGTGGCTCATGGTGAGTATCCCCCAGGCAATCCAAGGAAAGGTATATGGGGCTATGAGCATGCTCCCAGTGCCTGCCATTTTCCCAGCAGAGTCCTAGGGGAGGTTCCCTGCGTGAATAGATGGATGTCCTGGTGGAGGTGGGGCTGATGGTAGTCAGATAACAGGGAAAGGATAGCATGGCCTCTAAATCCAGGGCCTGGCTCCAACTTTTTCTGTCTCTGACAGTGTAGTGAGCATACAACACTGAGCTATAGAAGGGGGACTCCATAAAGGGGACCAGAGGAAAATTATAGATTGGAGCCATATTGGAGAAAGAGCTCAGTATTCTCTTGGGGCATTGGTTAACTACAAAAGGTTCATGAACAGGAAAGGGACTGAATCGAATCTATTGTGGGGTGTGCACAGGGCAGAATGGCTTACTGAAGCCTGGAGTAAGGTACAATCCACAGGCATTGGGCCCCTCGCCAGCTCCAGGCCCAATGATGCACCCTCCTCATTCTTCAGGTCCCTGAGAACTCCACTGTGACGTTTTACACCCCTGGTGTTGCCTGTAACCGCACTGTCTTCTAAATGAACTTTGCTGATACTGATTGTCCAAGGCGTGGCCCCAGGACTCCTCCACACCTTCAGCACCTAACATGGCTTGGAGGATCAGCAGAGATCCATCCATACCGCGTAGATCTCGCAGACCACAAGAGACAGGGGAGGCAACAGATCTCTCATCTCCATCCCCATTTACAAATGAGCAACTGAAGCTCAGAGAACTAAGATTGTTGGGGGCAGAGCAGGAAGGACGCCTGTAGGCTGCCTCTCAGGCCTGGTGTCTTCCTCAGGCATCACACAGCCGTTTAAATTCCTCCCTACTGGTGGTTCCAATCTGCACACGTATGGAACTGGGGGTGTGGGTGCTGATGGTGGGGGGGGGCAAAACCTCAGGGAAGACCTGTGCTTACCTTGAGGGCTTACAGACAAATGGTTTGCTCTTTTCTGAGGCTGCAAAGTGGAGCCCATCTACCTGAATGTGGAGCCGTGAACCACGAACCAGCCTGAGGTAGGTGGGGGACTCCATGGCCCGGGCGGTCTGTGGACACAGCACATGGCAAAAGTCCCCTCCCCCACAGAAAGGCTGCCCCAACGCCACAGAGCCTGGGTGTTTTGCACCAACAGGTAGAATAACCAGCCTCCAGAAACGCAGGACCCACAGCCCAGACCTGAGGCACCATGGAGATGGAGGGCAAAGGCCTCAGGCCGAGATTCCCTACCCAGGCAGGCCTGAAAAGAGGGTCGAGATCCAGGCCTGGCTGAGAGAGGAGCCGGGCAGTGAGGATAGGAGGCAGGGGACGAGCTAGGGCTCTACACTGCTATCTTCCTCCTATTAATCTTGGGCTCTCTTCTCAGAATGTGGACGTCACCCGGGACCCTCAAGAAGCCTTGGACACTGTCCCTGCTCATTACTGACCTTTTTCCAAGAAGTCAAACTGCCTGTGTCCTCACTGCCTTCTACTTTTAGGAACTGACATCCTTGCTCTTCTCCCTACCCTGAGAAGACTCTGGTCTTGGCCTCACTGGCTACCAGTGAAGAAGCCCTCAGCAGCTCTAAAACAAGTCTCAATTCCTGGCCACAACTAAGAAACTGTCTAGCTCTGGATAAAGTTCTTTCTTTCTTAAGTCATACTCTCTGATCAATAAAGACTTCTCTTACTAGCTACAGGAGGAGAGTAAGAGGTCATGGTGAGCTTTCTTCCAGCGCTCTCAAGATCCTGATCCTGATCCTGACTCAGCTCTGGTGCTGTGGGGGTGTGGAATGGGTGAAGACTTCCTGGAGGGAAGAGTTCTATGGTAGCACCTCCAATGATGGGGGAGGAAACGGGTCCTTGTGAGTACCTGTGAGCCTTGTTCCTTGGTGGGCAAGGTGGCTGGGGACATGACACCTTCATCCTTACAATTGGCGAACAATCTGGCACTTAGGCCAAGTGCTCTTCTCTTCTCCAACTCTTGCTGCCATATTGATTTCACTGTCCATGTGAATGACCCAACCAACACCCTGGCCTCCCAGTCCCCTGACTCCCTCAACTCCAGTGATCATCTTCTCCCATTCAACTACCCACTCTATGAACTTTGGCAACATCTCCCTAGTCTGACTTCTCCAATGCAAGCATCTCACTATCTGATCACTGCCAACCCCCCCCCCAAGTCCTTACAACTCTATGTCATCCCCAGTATCTCTAGAAGCATGCCTGCACACAATAGGCATACATGTAGTATTTCATGAATGAACAATATTTGTTGTTGTACTGCATCAAGAGCATAGTCCTTTGATTGCTCCATTGTCTCTCAACCCATCTTCAGTCTTCTTCCATCCCTAATCAACTTGAATCCTCTTCAGCCACTCTCTATCCACCTACTGTGGGCCAGGTACCAGCAACCCAGTGATAAAGAGACAGACTCATACACTCGCTGCTTTTGTTCCCTTGTCCTTCCATCACAAACACCCGGCAAGACCCAAATCCTGCATAATCCACATCCCCTTTTTTTGTTGGGATCCACCACAGAGTTGCTGATTACTGCTTGAAGCAGATCTATAACTGCTTCCATAGCCACCCTTAAATCCTCTTCGAAGTCAGGGTCACCTTCTATTATCTGGCACCATAATCCATCCTACTTTCTCAGGGACGGGCTACTTCAGTCAATTGCTGATTCTTTCATGTCTTTCTCCTGTCCCTCTCTATTGACTTTTGCCCCACAGTCTATGCAATATGCTCAAGTCTTTCCTATCCTAAGAAATCCCTCCCTTGTTCCTGTGTCCTACCCTCATTACCTCCCCCTCTATTCCTCCATTCTTATACAAACGAATCAAAATGAATCTGTACTTACTGTCCAGAACCCTCTTGCTTTGCCTTCTGCTCCAGGCTTTCCCCCTCCATATCTTTTCTCAAGCTATTATATTCTTGCCGGCCATGCTTTCCCCGAGCCTCTATTCTGCTGAAGTCATACTTGCCTTTGAGCCAAAAATTGGAGCCTCACCTTCCCTAAAAAGCTATGCTGATCTCCTGCTTTTCTATGAATTCAAGATGCCACAACTACCCAAGATGCCACTCCACAACTACCTAAGAACATTAAAAAACAGGAAAAAACTCCAATTCATTTTGCAAATTTAATGTAACTCTGATAGCAAAATATGACAGCATACAGGAAGCAAACAATAAAGCAGAAATGGCAAACAGATTTTTCACAGCATGTCATCCTCAGCTGTTTGGTCATGGCTGCTTAGACTGATGTGTGGACAAAGATTCCATGGATGTATCTTGACTCCATGGGAAGGACTGTTGCAATTCATTAGTGGTATCTGTAAATGTGGGGAATAAACCTGAAAACAAAATACACAGGAACACATTTTAGCACTAAATATACTGTTTTCTCATACTTCCCTCATTGCCTCATCTTCCCACCCCACTCTCCCACCCCGGGGTTTCTTATAACATCTCCCAACTCATACCCAACCTCATGGGCCCTGGTAATAAAGATATTACAATTACCTGAAACCTCACTAGCCATAGGAGAAGCCACAGGCACGAAGGCTGGTGGCTCCACCACCAAAGCCAGCACCAGTGCTCGGTCCACTGCTGAAGCCAGCTCCAGTGTTCAGTCCACTGCCGAAGCCACTGGTGCTTGGTCCACTGCAGAAGCCAGCGCCAGCGCTTGGTCCACCGCTGATGCCAACAATAGAACTGGGTCCACTACTGAAACCGGCGCTGGTGCTGGGTTCTCCAGTAAAGCCATTGCTGGTGTTGGAATCACTGCCAAAGCCAACGATGGTACTCAGTCCTCTGTTGAAGCCGGCATTAGGCCCACTGCCAAAGCCATCGCTGGTGACCAGTCCACCACTAAAGCCAGCACTGGTACCTAGTCCACCACCAAAGCCAGAGCTGGTGCCTACTCCACCACCGAAGCCGGTGCTGGTGCTCAGTCCACCACCAAATCCAGCACTGGTGCTTAACGCACTGCCAAAGTTGAAACCGGCACTGGTGCTGGGTCCATCACCCAAACTGGCACTGGTAGCACCACTAAAGCAGGCACTGGTGCTAGGAGGGCCATCAAAGCATAGGTTGGTGTTAGATGCACTGCCAAAGCAGAGGCTAGTGCTGGGAGCTCCACCAAAACAGAAGCTGGTGCTGTGAGCACCACCAAAGCTGTGAGCACCACCAAAGCTGACATTGGTGCTGGGAGCATCACCAAAGCTGATGCTCGTGCTAGGAGCGCCACCAAAACCCATATTGTTACTAGGAGTACCACCAAAGTCAGTAGTGGTACTAAGTGCCCCACTGAAGCCAGCACTGGTTCTGAATGCACTGCCAAAGCCAGGGTTAGTGCTGGGTGCAACACTGAAGCCAGCACTGGTGCTGACAGCACCGCCAAAACTGGCACTGGTATTGAGTGTGCTGCCAAGCTAGCACTGGTGCTGGGAGAGTCACCAAAGCAGACACTGGTGCTTAGTGTACTGCCAAAGTCAGTGCTGGTGAAGACAGCACTACCAAAGCCAGCACTGGTATTGAGCCCTCCACCAAAGCCAGCACTGGTGTTGAGCACTCCGCCAAAGTCAGTACTGGTACTGGGAGAGCCACCAAAGCAGACGCTGGTGCTTAGTGTACCACCAAAGTTGGCACTGGTGTTGGGAGAGCCACAGAGGGAGACACTGGTGCTGAGTGTACCACCAAAACCAGTGTGGTGTTGGGGGAGCCACCAAAACAGATACTGGTACTAAATGTACCTCCAAAGCTGGCACCAGAGCTGGGAGAGCCACCAAAGCAGACACTGGTGCTGAGTGTACCTCCCAAACCAGTGCTGGTGCTAAGTGTACCACTGAAAACGGTGCCTGTGGTGGGCACACTGCCGAAGCTGGTGCTGGTGCTGAGTGCACCACTAAAGCCAGCAGTGGCGCTGAGTGTGCCTCCAAAGCCAGAGCCGGCTCCACCACTGAAAGTGGCACTGGTGTTGAGTGGACCACTGAAACTAGAGCTGGTTCCATCACTAAAGCTGGCACTGGTACAAGGTGTGCCACCAAAGCTAATGCCGGCTTGACTGCTAAAACTAGAGCTGGTGGTGGGTGCACCACCAAAGCTAATACAGGCTGTACTGCTAAAGCTGGGGCTAGTGCTGGCTGTTCCACCAAAGCTAATGCTGGCTGCACTGCTAAAACTGGCACTGGTAGTGGGCGTGCCACCAAAGCTAATGCTGGCTGCACTACTGAAGCTGGTACTGGTACTGGGTACACCACTGAAGGTAATGCCAGCTCCACTACCAAAGGCACCATTGGGGCTGGGTGCACCACTGAGGCTAATACTAGCACCATCACTGAACCTAGCCCTGGTGCTAGCTCCTCTGCTGAAGTTGACGTTGGTGCTGGAGTCCACATTTTCTTGGGCTCTGCCCTCAATTTCAAACGAAAATCTGCTCCAGGCCTGAGCATCATCACCTAACTCTTCTCTTGTTAGGCAGTCAATATCCATGTCATCCCAGTTCCAGGGCCTAGCCACAGCTTCCTCTCCAATCCCCATTTGGGCCCTTGCCTCAGCCCTGGCCTCAGCCTCGGCCACAGCCACAGCCACAGCTGCAGCTTGGACTTCCATCTCCACTGCCTCCCGGTACTGAGAAGCCCAGTCCTTGGGGTCTTTCTTCTGCACCTAAAACATGAATGATAATCATTATAAGCAAAGTAACTTTTGTAATCATGTATTAAGCACCGACTATAGGGTTTGTATAGAAGTAATAGCAATATTTTTAAAAAATTCCTAGTTACTAGAGCTCTGTCATGGGTCAGTCCTGAGATCTAATTTCAGCTCTGATAACTTAGGTGCTATATAACCTTGGACAAGTTACTTAAGTTCACTGAGTCTAAGTGTCTTCATCTATAATATGGGAAATGATAAGAAAGTATGCTATGAACTGAATGTTTGTGTCCCTCAAAATCTGTATGTTGAGTCCCCAACCCCCAATGTGACTGTATTTGGAGATAGGGCCTTTATAGAAGTAATTAAGGTTAAATGATATCATAAGGGTGGGGTCCTGATCCAATAGGATTAGTGTCCTTATAAAAAGGGACACTAGAAAGCTTGCTTTTTCTCTCTGCCATGTGTGGAGACAGCAAAAGAGTGGCCATCTGCAAGCCAGGAGGAGAGCCCTCACCAAAACTGACCATGCTGGACCTTGGTCTGGGATTCTCACCCTCCAGACCTGTGAGAAAATAAATTTCTGTTTTTCAAGTCACTAAGTCTATGGTATCTTGTTATGGCAGCCCAAGCTGATTAATACAAAGTATGAAGAATTAATGAGATGATGTAAACTATATATCTAGCAGCATTCTGGGACATAAATATGTTTATATATGAACTTCAGAGTGCTCTGTACCTGACCATCCCTGCACATTGCCTGACCCAGCCAGGGGAATCCTATTCCCTTAATATTCCAAACTCAGGCAGCTTTCCTATTACCTTGCATGCAAACTTGAGGACTTTCATCTTGCTAGTCTCATGGTAGGAGCGCAAGCCCCAGAAGAACTCATATTCAGGTGGTCTGCTGTTGGGGACCCTCTTGTACTCCAGGTACCTTGGAGAAAGGAAATGAAACTTACTTTGAACCAAGCAAACCTGTTGTCTAACCACTAGGCATGAAATAGCAACCCACTCCAAACAAATACTAAATAGCCCCTGAAGGATTTCTAAGAGATCTTCCAGCCCCAGACTCATTCTCAAACAGAGTTCATGGTTTCAGCTTCCAATACTGAGCCATTTCCCATTGACTTTGTGCAAAGAAGTCACTTGGGGTGCTGCAGTGGAGGCATGTGTAGGGCACTATGTCACAGGAAGGCCACAGTATCCTGCCACCTGTAGGAGTAAGCCCAGATTTCTGTTGGGTGTGTTGTAAACAGAGGCGCCATTCTTCAGGCCCCCTGCTCTGAGCACACCCCACTACAAGGGCCTTGTGTTGAGTCTGACCCAGTCCTGGAAAAGTCCACCCATGGGAATTTTAGGCAGGACTCAATTCTAGAACGCAGGATGCCCATCCCTCTAAAGCTACTGTAAGAAAGGTGGTGACCGAGCACTTTCTGGATCAGATCAATATGCCCAGAATACTTCAGGGCCAGACAAAGCCCCCAAACACCCCTTACTTCTGCTTGACAAACTCGTCTGTGATGAGCTTCCTTACTTCCCCAAACAGTGAATGCTTCACCCTGGTAATGGGTAAAATAACCTGTGAACACAGATCAGAACTGCCCAGATAAGGGCCGAGGCATTACCCGACATGGAAGAGACCTCTCTAGCACGTGGGGCAGTCTCAACAAGGTGAAGAAAGAAGTGAGCGTGTGGCCACTAGAGCAAGCAGCAGATGGCTCTTTGTCAGAGATACCTGAAGGTCTATCTAACATCTCGGCTTCAAACAGAAAGAGGACATAGGGGAGAGAGGGAGCAGAGAGTTCAAGACCATTTCCCCATCCACCCTGGTCAGAACCCTGGGCCCTCTCCACCAGACCACCAGGCTGATGCAATCCTGGGACTGTCCTCTCTTGCCAAAGGACAACATGGACAGCAAGTGCTGAGAGAGCCCAATCACACCCAGGGCGCAGCCCCAACTTGCGTAGCACTTCCCAGATGACAGCTGCAAGGGGAGGCAAGAGGAGAGAGGGACAAAAAATGAACACTCGGAATAAAGTAAGAAGAAGATTATGCATACCAGCCCACAGCCACAACATCACACCATCCATCCGGAATTCCAAAGCCACAAAATTCCATGTTAGAAATGTTCTCGGTCTTTTTTCCAGAAAATGGAAACTTCGCGGGATCTTACACACCCCGTTTAACAGCTCCTAGAGCTACAGCTGTCCGAGAGCCAAATCTTTAAGGCGACCCAACTGACCCTACATACAGTTCTCTCTTGTTCATTCTTTCAGGCTCTTGTGCCTGTTTCCCTCAGGTCTTAGATTAAAAACTAAAAATATTATAGACATGGTTTTGCATTGTTGGTTGCCTTTCCAATTTCCTCTACTTGCTTGTTAATAAGACCCAGACACATACCTTGTTAAGTTTGGCCCCTGAGAAAAAGGACTGCAATCACTTTTTATCACAAATAGGCGGAGCAAAAGAGTCACAAGCCGCAAGGAAACATCACGAGCTACATTGAGGCTCCAGTCCAATCTGGCTGCTCGAGCGTGATCACCTGCTCAACATCATTATATTTCCCATCTCTATTCTACGTCCCATCCTCTCCCTTGAACGTACTCAATACAGGGAATGTGCGTACCAGCTAAATACCCGTAATGTACTCAAACATGAACAGTGCATTATGATGGGACCATTATAGAGGATCGACTTTCATAAAGAAGCCACTTAACCAACACTGGATCTCGCAGATTGACAGCTGAAGATGTACTAGTGCATCACGTTAAGATCATATTCAATCATACAATTTTCATATACTATATAATACCTGAGGACACAAAAAATTGAATGGGAGGAAGTTATTTCATCTAAACATAACACACACAAAGAGTCACGTAGGCCTGCAGACCAGCACTCTCGTCAAATTATCTACCGAGAACGAGGAAAAGAAGCTGACTAGAGCAAAATACAACTATTGAGCAAGTTAATATATGCATTGCTGTCCTGGTGGGAGCCTCAAAGGTGGGATCTAAACTAGTCTGTGTGTCTGTCTCCTCACCCGTTACTGTTTCCATCATCCCGAAAACGGCCAACTCACACATTGGAGGCACCTCAGGCAGGGTAATCAGATACCCTCCACAGTGCTAAAGGTGCCCTTGGCCGTGGACACGCTGAGCTTGGGGTTTCTCCTGCGCCTGTCTTCCGTCTCTGGGATGAGGCGGTAGGTAGCCTCGTGGCTTCTCCACGCCCGGCCTGGACATCAGGTCACCCTGAATGGTTAAATGTGCAGATCTGGTCCCACCGCATCCCACGGAAGCAGACCGCGAGGCTGGTCCGGGAAATGTCATTTCAAGAGCTCATGTCGTGATCTGATGTAGCTGGTCTGGCCCTGGAAAACCTTATGAGCTGGCAGGCAGGACGCTCTCTGCCTGCAAGCCTGAAAGTATCCTTCCTGTGCTCCATTCGTCTTCCCACACGCAAGTGCCGATCCCGGGACAGCAGGGTTTTCCCAAGTGAGGCTTCTCCAAACCTCGGTGGCATAACAGGGAAAGTTCACACATCAAACCTCATGCAGTCATTCTGCCATGCACCTTAATAATCCTCATTCATGCATTTCTCATGTTGGCATTCACCCCCCCTCTGTCACTCACAGGTTTACTCATTCTTTCACACTCACATTTCACTCTGTCCGTCAAATGCCTGTCAAAAACAGAGGCACCACGCAGGGGCAAGCCGACATGATTAATGAGGACGTAATTTTCAGAGGGGAAGCATTACGTGAAACACAAGGGATATCGAGATAGGAACTCATCAGCCAAGAACCATTACATCGCAAACCACTGCAAGATCAGGCAGTAGCCATCGAAGCAAAGTGGCGAGAGTCCCACGCCAGGGAAAGGAGCTCCATGAGAACTGATGGTCAATGTCAGTGGACTTTGGCAGGGCCAAAGCACGCGCAGATACAGAGCAAGGGAATAATGCCCTGTGCCCAAACTCCCC